CCCACAACCCTGGTAATGTAGGCTTTTCTTCCTTCCAGCACTAGGTACCAAAACCATCCAACGCTGCTGCACTGGGAGACTGGTATTTGGCCCCCACTTGCCTCTGTGGCCTCTTATCACTCCCATTCATTCCCTGACTCCACTTCAGCCCTGCATGCTAAAAATGCTGTTCTCTAAATCTAGAATGCCCTTCCCTTCCCATTCCTACCCTCCATCTTGACTGTTACTGGAAGTGTGAGCTCAAATCCAATTTTGCATGGGAAACAAGCCTTCCCTGATCATCCAGAATAAGGCAGGACACTCATTTATGTGCCATCACAGCATTGTGTACTTATTTAAGGTGATAGCTTATTTATATGTCTGTCTTCTCTGGTGGCTTCAGGGAACAGACACTATGTCTATCTTGTTCAACATCATCTTCCTCAGCTAGAGAATAACCTGGCAGAAAGAAGGAGAGCAATAAACATTTGTTGTTGACAATGGTCCAAAGGCTCCAGCCCTAACTCTTAGGCAGAAGCCTACTTTGTGTGTCCCCAAGGGTAGTATATGTCTTATGCCTTGGACCATGACAGTGACCATGGGCAGGTGCCCTTCTCTGCCTTGCCCTGACCCTGATCTTCACTGTTTTCCAAAATGAGCTCATTAAGAAAATGACTGGGCAGAGTAATAGCTGGGGATTACGTTGCTCTTGTCAATAATTTCTGGTTTTGACGTCTTTCTAGGGTCAGAAATCAGGAGTGAGGATTTGTTGAAAGAAATAGAAAGGAATCAGCAGATCACATAAATGCTGGCCCCAAATGTTTGCATCACAAACCCATTGCATAATTTTACAGATGAGAACATAAAGCTCTCTAAATAACCACAAAACTCCTACTCTACTTCAGATATATCAGAAAAATGAGATAATAATGCACAAACCAAGTTTCAAAAGCTCTGTGGTAGGTCTGGAGAGATAGAGATCAGTTCTCGTCTGTCAACCCTGTTCTTCCATTCTTATATGGTTACAGAATTTCTAACAAGGAACGTAAGAGGTCAGGGAAAAAGCACACATTTCCAGCGTTCTTTAAAGCAAAGTGTGTCCATGTGACCAACTTCTGGCAAACGTAAGAAAATGTGATGCTGTGTCCTTAAAGACAAGGGACATGCCCTCCCTGGCCCCAAACCTTCATCGACCCGGTGGAATGTTGACAAGGGAGAGCATCAGAGCATTCTGGACCATGTGAATAAGGGTGTGGCTGCTGGGGATGACAGAGCAACCAAAAGGAGGAGTCACAGAGCTGCTATATCAGCCCCAGATGGCTTATTTTCTGATGATACATGAGAGAGAAATAAACTTTTATCAAATTTAAACCACATTTATTTGGGTTCTTCAAATTAATTTCCAAGCCCATAGTCTAACTAATACCCCTAGAATGAGGAAGGGTGGAAAAGTCACACAACACAACAGTTAAAAAATTAAGCTAGCTCTTCGACCACAGCATTCTAGAAATTCATTTCCACACCAGGCCTGCAGCCATGTAGTATCAGTTTCCTCCTGCTCAGCTCTAAGGCTTCTTCTCCTGCACCCTTTGTCCTACAGCCCCAAGACCTCCCCAAAGCCCTTCCTCTCTGACCACCAGGGAAAGCTGACAATCTTCTCATGTTAAAAAATCTTTTTTATTGGTAGGGTGTGGTGGCTCACACCTGTAATCCCAGCACTTTGAGAGGCTGAGGTGGGGGGAATCACCTGAGGTTGGGAGTTCGAGACCAGCCTGACTAACATGGAGAAACTCTGTCTCTACTAAAAATGCAAAATTAGCTGGGCGTGGTGGCGCATGCCTGTATTCCCAGCTACTCGGGAGGCTGAGGCGGGAGAATCATTTGAACCCAGGAGGCGGAGGTTGTAGTGGGCTGAGATTGCACCATTGCACCCCAGCCCAGGCAACAAGAGCAAACCTCTGTCTCAAAAAAGAAAAAATCTTTCTTGTTGTTTCCAGTTTTAATGGGACAGAGTAAAGATGGCTTTGCCTGCTGCTTCTTGTTAAAACTGTGGCAAAACAACAGTCTGGTTGATGTTCATTCCAGGAGTTCAAGGCTGTTTTCATGCTATAAAATTTTTACTTACTTATTGACGTTGTGAGTTCTGTGAACAAATCATTTAATCTATGTGGAGAAATGTACTAGGGTAGGGTGAGGTCTTATTCTCAAAGCAACCAAACATATATAGGAATAAGTTTACGAATAAATGTATAAGACATATATCAAGAAAATTTTAAACATTTGGGGACTAAACCAATGAAAACCCCTTGTGTAAATGGAAAGGCACAGGTAATCCTTCAGTAAGAAGGATACTTTATTTAATCCATAAGTCCAACGTTATACTAAATAAGACCCCTATAGGATTTGTTTTAAAACTTGTGAAAATGATTCTAAAGTTTACGTAGAAAAAATATTAGAAGTGGCGGGGCACAGTGGCTCATGCCTATAATCCCAGCACTTTGGGAAGCCAAGACAGGTGGATCAACTGAGCTCAGGAGTTCGAGACCAGCCTGGCCAACATGGTGAAACTTTGTCTTTACTAAAAACACAAAAATTAGCCCAGCGTGGTGGCACACACCTGTAATCCCAGCTATTGAGAAAGCTGGGGCAGGAGAATTGCTTGAATCCAAGAGGCGGAGATTGTAGTGAGCCAAGATCATCCCACTGCACTCCAGCCTGGGCAACAGAGTGAGACTGTGTCAAAAAAAAGAAAAAAAAAAGAGAGAGAGAGAAAGAGAAGAGAAGAAAGAAAGAAAAGAAAGAAAAGACAAGGAAAGAGAAGGAAGGAAGGAAGGAAGATGCTTATAAGGTACTACTGAAACTTAGGAATGCACAAGTATTGAAAGTCAAAGAATGGAAAATAGATATATCTGACAAGTATTAAGTTAAAGGAAAAATGGCATAGCTATATTAGTATCTCACAACAATAAGTTTAAGACAATAAATATTATTAGGCAGAATTCTATTGAGGGCAATGTAGCAAATAATATAAACTAGAATCTAGAAATTTAGAATAAGATTTTATTCTAACATGATTTTAAATACTTAACTCACAGGAAAGTGTACCCAGGTACCAAAACCAAACAAGAAACTAAAACCAGAGGGGTTGGTTTGGACTGAAGAGCTCAGCTGATGCTTTGGCCAACAGGAGTGGGAATGGTGAAGAGTTGTAAGTCTTGATATCTGAGAAAGAATTATAATATGCAGGAGGCATATTATAGGAACAAGGAATAGGAACAGAGACTTTTCTCACACACATATATTCATCCAAATGCCTGGACTCATGAAAGGATAATTTTTTTAAAAATCTCATGAACAAAGAGAGATAACAAAGAATCTTGTGATCCTTGCCTAAGCTTTGAAGTGGTAGTAGAAATGTCTTCTAAAAATTTATACTCATAGTTTGCATCACTAAGTATAGAGTTTAAATTAATACTACCTACTTGGACCAGTAACTTACAATTCAAGAAATTACATTAAAAACTAATCCTGAGAGACTTCTGAAATAGTCACAACAGAACTCATAGCCAATGACATTTAAAAGTTATTACAACCACATCTGATACATCTAAAACTTTGGTGGAGAAATGAAAGATATAAAAAAGACCCAGATCAAACTTCTAAAGATGAAAACCTATAATGTGCAATAAAAATACATTGGATGG